CTGAACGAGAATGTGTGAAACTAGGCAGCAGGGTGATACAAGTAGGAAACCCTAGCAATGTTGTACCCCCTAAGGCTAAACCCACTATAGCCTACACAATATGAACATGTATAATGTTTGACATTGAATTCGTGCTTCCAAGCTCTATCGAGCTGCAATGGTAGTGGAATTCTACAATTGCTCCTTCACAGTCTGTTTCTGCTCTTGTTGCTGCTGTAGCTGACATTGCACTCTCTTGAATTCTCTACTGCCTTTCTTCGGGGCAGGCTGCACGAGCAGATCTGGCTGCGCCACCCTTCTGGTTTCACTGGCTCTTTCTCTCACGGGACCAAATGGAGTGTTCTGCAGCCGGTCTATGGTCTGCGTCAGGCACCTCATGAGTGGCACAACTTCTTGCGCACCACTCTTGCTGCCCTCAGTTTCATCCATTTTTTCAGCTGACCCCTCACTCTTCGTTTTGTTCTTGGCCCGCCCATTTCTATGTATTGGTTTACGTTGACGACCTGCACTTTGCCACTCCATTCCGTGAGACACTGGCCTCTGTAAAGGCCGAGCTGCAGAGGAGGCACACCTGCACTGATCTTGGCGAGCGACGCCAGTATCGTGACTTCCAGATCACCAGGTTCAGAGCAGCGCGCACCATCACTTTGACTCGGACACACATGGTGCAGCAGATTCTCGAGCGGTTCCGCCTACTTTTCTCCGCACCACAGCCCATCCCCTCTTACATTTGACCCTGGGCTCACGGCTCTTGTTCCTGACAAGCCTATTAAACATAGGCAGTCATTACGCAAGACCTAGCCTCATGTACCTGATAACTTGCACTCGTTCAGACCTAGCGTTCCCTCTCAGTGTCCTTGCTCGCTTTATGGCGACAGGGAGGCACCGTCCTGCGCTAATAGGGTGTTTGCTCATTCCTTCGCTCAATGTATTGTTTTGCTTCGATAGTGCAATCTTCATCCCCTCACTCAATTGCACTCGTAGCACCATCCTTGAATGTTTTAGCCTCTCACTTCAAGGATTCATATTAATGTAAAATAACAAATGGTGCTGACTCAGAATTCGTATATAATGAGTGACCTGCACACTCTAAGCAGTATATGTTGTAGTGAGACCGAGTATTCACTGTAATGTTGAAGTACAGTAAGGGCGGGGTGCATCATGCTATTTTTCAGGATCGCGATCTCAAGCGATCCTCACTACAGTGTTTTGTCTTTTGAGCACAGTAACTACGGTAGCATTGCTGCACCTCGACCTTGGGGGATCGCGAAAACTGCCACCCAACCACCCTCGATCACGCTGGATCTCAAAGCCTGCGATCCCACGCGATCAAGGGTTGGAGGTGCACCACGTGCACACCGATCCTTCTCGCGAGAAAAATATTGTCGCCGAACAACAAAACGAAAAGAGGGCGAGGTAAATATGAAACGGTTACGGAATAAAGTCTGAAACCAAAATGTACAGGCGACGCCTTGACCGCGTCTCATTGGTGGTTGGGGGTCGGGACTGCAAAACTGCAGGTGGTGCATCATAGGGGGGTACCATTGGGTCGCAGGGGACCCCCAGCATGCCCAACCCAACCAGATTCCACAGGGTTGCGGTTCTAATATCGCGATCATGCAATTTCATGCAATTTCAGCATGATGCACCCCGCCCTAATGGTGAAGTGGCAGACTAGCAAGACCGAAAATGTGGCAGAGAATGATCATGTGGGCAAGTCGTGTCATGTCATCTGGCTGGAGGACTGTCGAACTGTACACATCGGTCCTGAAAGCGCGTTTATCATACGTGGCTTCAGTTTTACCACGTCATATCGTTATCAGCCAACCGACCACTCCGTCAAGCTTTGATGCATCCAACGACCAATTGGGAAAAGAGATCCAACAAGGTGGTTCTGGGCACCATAGGCTGTAATGATGTTTTGCGTCACACATGCCTGCCTAGCTCCAGGTGTTGGCGGGCTGGGCACCACGGGCTGTAATGATGGGCGTCAGAAATACATCCGGCAGCCCGACGAAGTGCGCATAGATTGCCTGCGGGGCAAACGAAAAGTGACATGCGCAGTTCGAGCTCAACGTCCGTCCAGGGCTATTGCTATGATTTTTTCTAGCTCGGACGATCCGGGCCCCAGTGAAAAAGACCCTGTAAAATCCGAGCCAGCGGAAAAAAAGCCTTCACGAATCTGGGTTCCAGCCAGAAAAGGCCTGAATTCTACCTACCGGAATTTCGCGAGATAGGGAAATTATCGAGATGAACGAGTGGATCTAGAGGGGTTGAGAGAGACTTCAAATTTATACGTGGAGGACTACTAATAGCCATATCAACGTAGTACGGGGAAATCAAACACCTGGAGGCCAAACCAGGAACGAATGCTAAGGAAATTCCACTGAAAGTGGCCTATGCGTTCTACACGGGGAGAGGGAGGGGGATGCGAAGCAGGTTGGGGAGAATAAGTGTTGTGAAAACAAATCCGGGTACCCACTAAACAACCCCGGAGAAATCCGAGTGAGCTCAAGAGCCACCCTTCAGTTTTACAGGCTGGTCCGAAAATCCACAAGTGAAAATCGGGGTTCCTCTAAGAACAACCTTGTAATCTCAGTAAATACAGGTCCTGCTTCCGTCCCCCTTCCTCACCTCCCCCCTTCTCCCCCCCACCCCCAAACCAAACCCCCTCGCACTTTCTCCCCCGCGCATCATTTTCCCATCCCCAACCAATTGGGGACATGCAGCATCAAAGGTTGCGGTTGGTCGTTGGATTTAGGAATGACGTCGTCACACAGTCTGCCTTCGCTGCAGCACCATGTGTGGATCACTGGGGACAATGATGCTGGCAAATCGCAGCTGGGCTGTGTGTTTCGCCCAGCTCGATGAGCATTCGGATTCCTTGGTCGTGACTCGTGACTCGGGACATGCCACGCTGGTTGTTGCCGGAAGGGTGCAGAACAAGATTTATTGGTCGATGGGTCGCTGCCCTCGTGATCACGAAAGCACAAATTTGATGGGTTGAGTTGCTCGGGCAACGGCCCGGCCCAGGAGAAGTACACTTTGGCTTGTCAATTGGCCAGGCTGCACCACGTTTTGCAATATAGTTCATACTGACATTTAGTGGAAATTGGCCCGACTTTGTATATTCTCTCGCTTTTCCGTAAGCGTCACAGGGAGTGATCACGCCTGTGTAGCAAGTTTGTTGCAAGTACAGTTGATTGAACGAGCAAGAACTGCACTATTGAAGCAAACAGTAGAATGAGCGAAAAGGCATATGCAAATTGTTATATAACTAAGTGTTTCGACAAGAGTAATGTGCTCGCGAAGAGGTCTTTCGGGCCTGATGTCAAGGTTGGGAAATGTCGAATCCTAAGGTCGTGTCGTATGTTATCACCCAAGCCGAGTGGATTGGGCGCAATAGGCGCGATGGTCGTGTTGGCAGGATGAATATTAAGGCAACTATCGCGAGGTGGTAATGGACTACTGTTAATTGTAAAATCCGTGAAAAATATTGTACGCGGTATGCAGTGTCTTGTGAAATAAGGAAAAGCGTTTTCCTTACAAAGGTGAAGAACTAATACGACAAAAGGCCAAAGAGATGAGATGGGCTCGAACATTTCGCGGGTTAATGACAATTTTATGTACTGAAGACATAGATCTCGTTACATTTGTTTTTTTCAGTGCCGCCTCTGCCAAGGTGACTCTATAATAGTCTATGGTCAGGTATACAAATACGAACAGGCCTTCATACAGATATCTAGGTGTACCATGTATAGTCCCAAGTGCCCCACGACAATCCAGACTCGTTTCAGGAGCAAAGTGTGGTTTCAATATTCGGAGGGGCGTGAAGTGTAAGTGTACACGCACACATGCGCTAGTTTGACCAATGATTTTGCTTGCTGCCGCGAACCTCCTCCCGATTTATCCAAAATTGATCGAGGCGGCTGCCCAGATCAACCAATCACACCTGTCCGCTAGCCGATCGTTTGGTGGACCCGATTCAATTGAACATTCTCGTCCTCGTGTCACGCCGATCTGTTCATCGCAGCCTTTCATCCCTTCGCTGAATGTAGGCTGGAATGGAGGCTGTTTTAGGGAAGGGATGCTGTGCGTCAATGTTTGTGGCATCACCAGCGTGGGTGCACGAGGAATCTGTTGAAGTGAAGCATCAGTTGAGCATGCGTCTGCGGCAGAGCTACAGAACGAGATGCAGAGGGGAGATGACAAGCATGATCCACATGCATTTCAGTTCAACACCCCTCCCCCCCCCCCCTTTCCCCCACGCCGCCCGCATTCCGCAAATCCTAAGCCCCTCCCCTTCTGCCACCAAGTGTAGTGCGATCGCCAAGCATATTCCCCCCTGCCCGCAATTCCCATCCTGCGAAAAGTTGGCGTCATCCTGAATTGATCACCTCCGCGAACTCCTCCGGGCCCCCTTGCGCGACACTCGCTGTACGAGACGATTGCTTACTATTTCCCGAGCCTTCACTTTCTTGCCTTGCAACATTTCTCTCATTTCTGATCTTGAAAGCCACTGAATCGCTCGCGAGCTAATTTAGAGCTTTCCGCGGTCACTTAACATAGTTCGATCCCGTTATCCCCGATCTTCCCCTCGCGGCGTGCAAGTCACCTGTACTCCAGGCCCAATATCCTCTTTCTATCTTGTCGATCTCTTAATAATCTAAAATCCCGACATGCTGCATGTCCCGAGCTCGCATCCTGCAATGGCGGGGAATTATCACCACGCCATGAAGCCATGGAAAAGCCACAAGCCTCCTTCTCTCGAGACTTTTCCCTCCCTCGAATCCTCGGATTCCGGACCTCCAACTCTCGTTTCCTCCATGGGTTTCCGTCACTTGCTTTCCCGCCCCCTGATCGAAGCGCCGTGCCGCGATCCGTCGTATCCGTCGTCCGTTACCGCGATTTCCGGAGCTCCTTCCGTTTCCCATCGCCCGATCGGTGTCCATCTCTTCACGGAGGATTCGGGGGAGTACGGCTCGCATGTGCGACAAGGGATGTCGCCTGGGGGGGGCTGTGCGCGTGAGGCGTGTGCGACATTATTAAGCGACGGGGCAAGCGACGGAGGAATCTACGTTTTCGGGTGTTTCGCGCAACGGAAGCCTTCGCGACCGATTATTGACATCAACCTCCCGCCTTCTTCGCTTCATGACTCCACGTCACAGGTAAAATCGCAGGCCTTCGGTAACGTTTTTGTACCTCGATCAAGGAGAAATACCTGTTTCTATCGAAGACAGCTCAATCATTCTGGTTCTAGTTTAAAACTCCTAGCGTGGCGTGGCGTGTTTTGTTTTTTTCCCTTGCATATGTCCCAATTCTCATGATTCCGTGTTTACTCTGGTTTCCCTGATTTCTACAGGATTCTTCTCAAGCCCCTGCGACTCCTGGGGCCAGTGACGGCTTCAAACCTGTCGCATGCCACGGCATCAACATGTTCTTCGCTCGCGACGACGTCGCAGACGCGTCGCACGGCCTCACCACTGCGACAGCCGCTCGCACACGCCCTGCCCCCGTCCCAGCTAATGCCGTTTCTGGGCCGCAGTCCCCTGCTCCTAGATCCGCTCTCCCCCACAGCCTTCGTCATAAAGCCGGAAGCCGCCTGTCATTTCCCGTGATCAAAGATTCGATCGTCGTCGCGAGCGCATGGGGTTCGCATGAAGTGCACAGCCATGAGCAGCAGCGCCAGATGCAGGATCGTCATCAGCAGCAGACGCAGCCGCTTTATCAGCAGAAGCGTGACGTCTGGAAATCAGCATGCACAGCTGAAGTGGCGCCAGAATCGCCCGGCCGTTGGGACTCGAGCGAAGTGGACGACGGAGCTGCGGCGCAGAGTAATGGAATCGTGAAGACCTGCGCTCACTGCGGCACGTCCAAAACGCCTCTCTGGAGAAACGGCCCTCCCGGACCCAAGGTAAACACATCATTCTCATATTTCTGCAGGGGTGTAGACATGCAAAATGTTTATCCTGACTAGAGGAAGAATGGATGGCATTAGTTGCTAATTTTCTTGTATTACTGTTTTCTCTCTTTGTTCCTGCAGTCACTGTGCAATGCATGTGGCATTCGTTTCAACAAGATCCGCAGCGGCAAGCGCAAAGCATCCCCCCAGGAGGCAGCCATGCTGAGAGAATACGATACTGTCAATCCGGGCTTCTCCAAGCCTCCGCCTCAATCGCCAGTGCACAAACCGCACTCCAGGCTGCCTCGCCCCCTCGCTGGTCCGTTTGTTTACGGGCCTTCGCCGTGCTGGGAAGGCCTTCCATCTGCTGCCACCAGCAGCAACAGTGACTGCGGCAGTCCCACAGGAGAAGGGCCAGAGGGAGGTGATGTTAGCGAGGATTCAAGGACTCATGTTGGAAAGAAAGTTTGTCTGCGCCATGAGGATCAGGTTGAAAATAAAATGGGTGGGGATGATGTGGTGCTTGGAGCTGAGCTCCTCGTCTCACTTTTTGGCAGCTGCCCAGTGTAAATGGTGTACGTGAAGGACAGCCTCTCCAGCAGTCTACTGCATGCTTGACTGTAAATTACAACATGTACAGCTAGGTCACTTCTTAGGACGTAAATTGTAATGGTAACATGCAATGAGAAGTCACTTACATATGCTTTTTGGATCCACCTAGTCTCTTGGCTTTCTAGGTGATTTCAGTGTCCGTTTGTGTTGGAATAACTTCTTCGAGCGACGTCAAGTGTGCTGCTTTGCACGATATCGAGACTCGCTAGTAGTGAGACGATAGCATATCAGCGTGTCCACACAGCCAGACCTTGACTGGTCCGTGATTTCATCCTCGTGATGACCACCGTTTTCGTCACGAGTTCACGGAGAACCTGAACGTCGAGTTCCGGATATTGCGCTGGGAATCGCGCATCAAGTATTTCGCGGGTAATCTTCGGACGCGTCAAACCGAAATGGTGCTCTCGCACATCGACCACTTCACCATTCTTGTTCTCTCCAGTAGCTCTAATCGTTGCGACCCTCCTGCCTCTTTCTCTCATCCCCTCTTCCCATGCTCGAAGAATCCCCTCAGCTTAGTATTTATTTGGGTCGGGCGAGCGCTGTTCCGAGTATAACGCATTAGCGATGTACGTGATCTCTCTATCCGCGCCGCTACTGGCACAGTCACGGAAAACAACAACCCTGCCGGCCGGAGAGCCTAAGCCGTTAGATTGACGAGCCGACAGAAGCTGACGCGGAAAACCTCCTGCGACAAACGACAAGCCGTTAATCGGCATTTTATCGCAGCCGGGCGACGGCGATGGCGGAAAGGCGCCACGTGTCAACTTGAACCTGGCGGTTGACACGTACGATGAGGGATCGTACGGCGGGGCGGAAGTCGGGCGGCACAGGGAGTTGACACGAACGTGTCGTACATTGCTGCGTCGTACGCCGAGTGGGTGGAGAGTGCAGCGCGCGACCCGTTCCGCTGTATGACGAACCAGTAGAGGTCCTTGGTCAGGTGCGCTTGCGAACTCCGCCAACTTGTACTTTTTCTGTTTTACCTTCGCTAAAGTGCGTTCGAGCACCACCGACTTCTACTGCTCCGTGTCCCACGCTCCATGTGCATGGGGTTGGAAGCCATGGCGATTGTTTTTAGGTATGCTTGTAACTGACAGCTTGTGGGTCAGCTTGTATCGGGTCAGCATGTAGCGGGCAGCTGGCATATTCATTTGTGGGCTGGAATTCGCATAACACTCCGCTCTCATGTCGAGGTGCCTCGGAAAAGGCTTCAGCTCCGGATTCCCCTTCCCCTCACCCCATTCTGCTTCCCCCATCTCCCGCCCCCATTCCTCTCCCCCAGTTCCCCTTCCCCTCTTACCCTTCCTTCCCTCCTCCCCCGTTTTCTCCCAACCGTTTTGTCCACCCCCCACCCCAACCTCCCCTCCCCCCTCCTTTTTTAGTTCTTCCATCATTGACCCACATTAACCCTCGTTGACCCTCCCTGACCCTCACTGACCGAACCTCACTACTAGTTCCTCGGTGTCGACTTATTGACTGACATTGACTCCTATTGACTCTCGTTGACTCTCGTTGACCCTTGTTGACGCTTATTGGTTCTTGTTGACCCTCAGAATCCGGACCTGCTGGAGCAGAGGCGGTTCCGCGCTTTGGATTCAAATATATCCCTAAACGCTTTCACCCCCACGACCTCTAGTTGCTCTCGTTGACTTTCGTTGACCCGTGTTAATCATTCTGTAATAATTCTGAGGTTTTCCTCTGCATTACCCCTCCCCTTCCCTCCCCTGCCCTCCCCTGCCCTGCCCTGCCCTGCCCTGCCCTGCCCTGCCCTGCCCTGCCCTGCCCTGTAACCACTGTATTGGAGAACTTATGATTCCGATGAGTCCAAATACGATGCGATGCTAATGATTCCAAACGTATGCATCGTTTCACGGCAGTGCACGGATAATGCTGGTGACTTGATTTCCTACAAGCTTACTGTAAGAACGATAGTTGTCAATTCCATGTTGTCGCTGTGTTCCCATCTGTGATATAGGAGTACGTGACCAGGTTAGGGGGAACGCCACCCCTTTCTATGGCACGCAGTGGCATCCAGAGGTGGGTTGTTCCATGCTGACGTGTATTGTGATATGCTGACGTGGATTGTGACATGCTGACATGGGTCGTAGTAGCAGAAGAACGTCTATGAATGAGGGTTGGACCATTGGACGCATACAGCACTCCATTGTTCAGGTCTATGGCATCTCCTCCCCCTCACATCTCTACCCCTTCACCCTCCCATCTCGCCTCTCCCATATCCCTTACATCTCATCCTTCCCATTACCCCGCATGGCAGTGAGGCCCATGACAATAGTACTAGCAAACGCAGCACAACTGTCGACAGGAGCACAAGTTGTCAATAGTAGAGCATTGTGTCAAGAAGTGATGTGTGCATTGAGTAGGATGAGAGTACAAGCAGGAAACCCTAAGGGGTTGTACTCATTAGAGTATGCCCCACTACAGCCTAGAGCATACAAAACATAGTTTGACACACCCCCATAGGCAAAGTGGGGGATAGCAAACACAACAGACGGTCACAAGACCAGTCAAGCAAGAGAACAAAACTAAGCAAAGCTCAGGGTAGATGTCAAATGTTTATATGTTCTAGATGTTAGTTATTCTAGGCTACAGTGAGTTGCCCTCTAAAGGGTACAACATTCTCTAGGTCGACACTTGTATCTCGATTGTTCCTACTCACTCACATAATTCTCTCGACACTTTTCCTAGCCTATTTTAAGATGGTATTAGAGTAGGTAATTTTTCTCCCTCCCACGCTTCCGCTCCCTCCCTTAGCCGGTCCCGAGGCGCCCGTCCCTTAGACTCCGTTTCGTCGCGGGTAGGACGGCCCCCGCGGGCCTCGTTTTCGTCGCGTTCAAAGGCCCCCGCGGGCCTCGTTTTTCGTCGCGTTTAAAGGGCCCCGCTGGCCCCTCGTTTCGTCGTGCTCCAGAAGGGACCCCCCCCCGCGGGCCCGCGTAGTCGTGCTTAGCCCGCAACAGCCGCGCGTGCAAGCAGCGGGCACACACGCACCAGCAGCAGCAGCGCGCGCGTTAGCCAGCGGCAGCCGCGCACGCCACTGCAGCACGCGCATTGCAGCAGCAGCGCTCGCATTGGAGCAGCACGGCTAGGCAGCAGCGGGTGCTACTGCAGCAGCACGGCTAGGCATCAGCTAGCCGCCAGCAGCTCGCCGCCAGCAGCAGCTAGCCGCCAGCAGCTCGCCGCCAGCAGCAGCTAGCCGCCAGCAGCTAGCCGCCAGCAACTAGCCGCCATCAGCAGCTAGCCGCCAGCAGCAGCTAGCCGCCAGCAGCTAGCCGCATGCTAGCCCCTCCCACCCGCCCACAGCCCCTTTCAACCGCTCACAGCCCCTTCCAACCGCTCACAGCCCCTTCCAACTGCTCACAGCCCCTTCCAACCGCTCACAGCCCCTTCCAACCGCTCACAGCCCCTTCCAACCGCTCACAGCCCCTCATCACGCGCGCACACCACCCAGGACCACCCGACCTCCGTTGGTTCGACACTCGCGTGTTTCGCACGTACTCACAGTGTTTCGCACCGTCGCGGCTGGAGGCCGCTCCACTTAGCTGTTTAGGCTAGGCTTGACGTTCGTTGTTAGCTAGGTCTCTCCTCGCTCCGCCAGCCCCTCGAACGACTCTCTGGCTCCTCGATCGGCTCGTCAGCCCTGCCTCCTCCAGCCGTGTGCTCCTAGCCCAGCTAGCTCCCAGCTCCGTTCGTTACTAGACTGGCGTTCCTAGCTCAGTTTTCCTCCGTGCTCCGGCAGTACCTCGCCTAGTCCCACCTGGCGCTCCTCGCTCCTAGCTCCGTTTGCTCCATGCTCCAGGTGCTCCTAGCCTAGCGTCCAGTATGGACTCCTCCCGCCGCCTTCGTTTCGATGCAGAGGGGCGCCCGATAGAGTTCGGCACCTGGCTCCGCGAGACTCAGCGCTATCTCACCAGTCAGCACCAGGACGGCGCCACCCTGTACGCCCACGCGTCCGGCGCCCTCCAGGCACCACCGCGTCCCGAGCCCCTCCCTGCCGTGCCCCCCCCCGACTCCGGAGGCGCAGGCGGACTACGCTCGTCTCGTCTTGGCGAGGGACGTTTGGGACTCCCGTGACGCTGCGGCTGCACTCGCGCTGACCGAGCTCCTTCCGCCGACTGAGGCTGCTCACTTCGACCTGGTAGAGACTGCGAAGGAGGTGTATGATGCTATTTCTGCACGCTATTCCACCCCTTCCTCTGCCTCCCTCAGCCGCATCCTCATGCCGTTCGTGTTTCCCGACCTCGGCTCGTTTGCGACTGTCTCTGACCTAGCCACACACTTGCGCTCCCTTGTCGCTAGCTACCGAGCAGCTTGCACTGAGGCTCAGCTTCTTGTTGCCCCTCCTCCTATCTGGCTCACCGTCCACTGGGTAGTCACTCGTCTCCCTGACCGCCTCTCCACTGCCCGTGACGCACTTCTCCAGCAGCACCCCAGTGAGCTTACGATTGATCTTCTTGGGACCACTCTCGGGAAGATCGAGAGTGACCTCCTCTCTGTTGCCTCAGCCACTGACGCAGTTGCCCCTCGTCTGTTTGAGGGGTGTGCTGTCCCCCAGCTTCCTACCTTCACTGCTACTCGTGCCTCTGCTGCTGTGTCAGTCTCTGAGGACACTGCAGCTGTTTCTACCGCTGACAGGCAGAAACGGGGCAAGGGAGGTAAGAAAGGGGGGAAGGGGGGTGGCGGCGGTGGAGGAGGTGGCGGTGGTGGAGGCGGCCCTGGGGGCGGCAGTGGTGGCGGTGGCGGTGGTGCCCTAGGCGGAGGGAGCTCTGGAGGAGGTGCTGACCCGCCTGCTGGAGGAGGTTCGACCAGCGGTGGTGCGGGGCCCCAGCAGCAGCAGCCACAGCAGCAGCAGCCACAGCAGAGACAGCAGCAGTAGCAGGAACAGCAGCAGTGGCAGGCACCACAGCAGTTTCAGTCATGGGGACCCCCACTGCAGTGGGGTCCGCAGCAGCACTGGGGCCCTCCGCCACAGTGGGGACCTGGAGGACCCGGGAGCACTAGCCGCAGCAGCAGCACTACCAGTTGGGCCCCCCGCCCCCCGCGGCGCAACACCGGCCCCTGCGACCACTGGTGCGTCACCGAACCGGGCAGTCCCTGTGTATGCGGCTGCGACGACCACTCTGCAGCGCGGTGCTTCCGCCACCTCGACGACCTCTACCGTGCACGCTGGGGTCCTGAGGCGACCACCTTGCGCTGGGCTCGCCTGCTAGCCCGTAAGATTCCTGTATTTGAACTGTCTATGGACGATGCTCGTCAATATGCTTTGTATGCTGATGTTGACTATAGTGCTGATGGATATGTGTGCTCGCGTGTTCGTAGTCTAGGATGCTTGCCTCCTGTTAGTGTAGACCTGTGCCTCTCTAGTCTAGGTGCTTGTGTCTCTGCTATAGGTGCTTGTGTAACCTCCGAACCTGCCACGCCTCCGGCTGAGGCGTCTCTGTCGTTCACGCTGGACTCTGGCGCGTCGCAGTGTTTCTTCCGCGACTACACGACCCTCACACCACTCCTTGCTCCGGTTCCGGTAGCTCTGGCTGATCCTTCTTCAGGACCAGCCGTTGCGCGCAGCTCCACCACCCTCCCGTGCCCTGTGGTCCCCTCCGGTGTCCTGCGCGGCCTCCACATCCCCTCGTTCACTCGGAACTTGGTGGGTGTTGGATACCTCCAGGACAGGGGGATCACCGTTACCTTTGTGGGGGGTGGAAGGACTGTTGTCTGTACAGACGCCGCTACAGGTGCTGTTCTCGCCACGTTCACCAAGGAGTCCCGCTCTGGTCTCTACGTTCTCCACACCGAGCGCTCCTCGGTTACTTCCTCCGTTCAGGTCGCTGCGTCCCCTCAGGTCCCAGTGTCTAGTCCGGTTGCTGTGTCTGGTCAGGTAGTGGTGTCGGGTCAGGTTGCTGCGTCTTGCTCCTGTTGGTCCCTCGCCCACCCGACCGTCTTGTGGCATCACCGCCTTGGCCACCTGTCGCTCCCCCGCCTCCGCAGCATGGCCAGTCACAGTCTTGTCTCAGGTCTCCCGCGCGTCTTTCCGTCACTCCCGCCCTCGCTTGCCCCACCCTGCACACCTTGCGTTGCCGGCCGCCTGCGCGCCATTCCGCACTCCTCCTCCCTTCGTCCGGCCACTGCTCCCTTCCAGACTCTCCACCTGGACGTCTGGGGCCCTGCCCCTACGCTCGGACCTGAGAGGGAGCGCTGATTTCTAGTGGTCGTTGACGACTACTCCATGTACACCACGGTGTTTCCTCTCGCGAAGAAGTCCAAGGTGACTTCTACGCTAATCCGGTGGCTTCTGGCCACTGAGGGCACTCGTGGTAGTCGTGTCCGTTGTCTCCACTCCGACCGTGGGGGTGAGTTTCGCTCCGGCGTC